GCAGCGCATCGAGCATGCGGAGCGAGCGGGCGAACGAGATTGCGGGAGAAGTGTCGGCAGTCGGCGCGCCGGGCCACGCCCCGTTTCTTGGCCTCGCGAAGGGCGTCGAATCGCAACGAGACGCCCGGAGCGATGTCGCCATGGCGCCGGCCGGCGCCGATCGGAGAAACTCGCGGTGACGCTTGCCCAGGGCGCCGTCGACGGGGATCTCGCCGCGGGCCTCGGAGGCGTAAGTGGCCGCGCCACCCCAAGGAGTGGCGCGCGTGCGACCTTCGTTGAGCCCCTCCGGCTCCCGCTTGGCGAGCGCGACTTCGCCAGCAACGGGCGCGCGCGGCGCGCCGCCTCGTGCGGCGCGGCCCTTGGAATGGCAGTGACGGAGCTGCCTGAGCCGCAAGCCCTCGCCTCCGCCGCGCTGAGCTGCCGGGCGGGCGCGCCCCTGGGGACGGGGGCGGCCAGCTCGATGGGGTGCCTCGGACCGCTGCTTGCCTTCTAAGGTTGTGCCTCCCGACCATGTCCTGTGACTGCAGTGTCTCGTCGGCCTTGGTCTCGCCAGAACGCCTTAGCTCGTGGGCTCTCATCGTCTCGGCTGTCTCGATATCGTATCCGCTCTCGTCCAGCCTCGAGGGGAACGCCACCGTCCTCTTGATTCTCCTCCCGCCAAACCCGAATAACGTCTGCGACTCGCCCTGTGCTGTGGTCGCCGTTCTGCCTGTCCTGGCGGGCCCCGTCTGCGGTCTTCTCGAGGTGTCTGCTTCGACCCCGCTCGGCGCGCCGCTGTATCTGTCTCGCCGATTTAAATGCGAAGTGCCAGTAAGTACTCGTGCGCTTCGACATCCCTCCGCAGTGTTGTCCTTGCCCGCGTCTGGAATCAACCGAAGGCGCTCTTTGCTTCGCCCCTGTCCTCGCATTGCTGGTGCATGCTGCCGCGGTCGCTGCCGCGGTGGCGTCGCGCGCGTTCGCGACGAGGCTGGCGGGGCAGACGGCGCCCGACTCAGACGCCTTGCGGACCGCTCGGATGGCGCGCCTCTTGAGATGCACAAGCTTGACGGTGGCCTCGGTCACGTGTGGTTCGGCGAGGCCGCAGGCCGCAAAGGCGGCCCCGCCAAAACTGTTCGCGATCTGCTCGTAGTGCATGCTGCAATCGTGCGCCCGGTGGGGGCAGCTGCCATGCCCCGCGCCCGTCGGACCATTGAACCCCACCAGCCTTTTGGGCTATGGTGGTCTAGCGAGTTCTTTCCTTCTTCTTCCAAAGGCCCTTTTCCCAGGGGCGGGCCCGCCCCGCGCCCAAAATTCGTCTCGGGGTTTCGATGCGTGTCAGGGGGTCCGTTTTCGCCTGGCATGACTCCAAGAGGGCCTTCGATGCTCCAAGGTGGCCTCACGAGCGGTTCAAAATAGCCGGCGATGGCTCGAGATAGCTTCCGACATGCCTGCGCAAGGCCCGACGAAAACCACAAGACAACTCCAAATGCTCTCGGGGCCTCCTCGGGACCCCCCCAAAGGCCGACGTCCTTCAAACACTTAAGGAACCATAGTGATTTGTGTCTTCCCGCCTTTTCGCTTCCGACGCGCTTCGAGATGGCCCCAGCATGGACTCGGGAGGGGCCCGAATCCCCCCAGACAGCCCCAAGAGCGGCCCATAGCGCCCCAAGAGGGCCCCAAGGAACGATTTTGATGACCCTGGGGGGGGCTAACATTGGAGCCCCCCTCCTCTGATCGACGGCTTCCAAAATGGCCTCAAGGGGCCCTGCAATGCACCCCGGAAGACCCCATGAGAACCCCAAGAAGGCCCCCATGCGGCCTCGAGACGGCCCCACGAGCGCCCGACAGCGCCCCGAGAGCGTCCCACGAGGGCCCCAAGAGGCGGTTTGCCGCTCCCCCCCCCCTCGCCTCGCCCCCCCGCGGAGGGAGCAGGAAAGTGAGGAAGAAAAGGAACTCCTTCTGCCAAGGTTCGAAAATCTACCCAATATCGGCCCCCGCAGCTCCTCCCAGGGTCCGTCCTTGCCAAGCTCTCGGGCTGCGACCAGCCGTGGCGACGAGAGCCTCCAGACCCGCCCAAAATCATCTGAAATGAGAATGTCGTCGCCGCCGCCGCCGCCGCCGCGCCGTCGCCGTCGCCGTCGCCGTCGCCGTCGCCGTCACCGTCACCGTCGCCGTCCGTCGCCGTCACCGTCGCCGTCGCCGTCGTCGCCGCCGTCGCCGTCGTCGTCGTCCGCCGTCGTCGTCGTCGTCGTCATCGTCGTCGTCGCCGTCGCCGTCGCCGTCGCCGTCGTCGTCGTCGTCGTCGTCGTCGTCGTCGTCGCCGTCGTCGTCGTCGTCGTCGTCGTCGTCGTCGTCGTCGTCGTCGTCGTCGTCGTCGTCGTCGTCGTCGTGCGACGTCGCCCCTCCCAGGGAGCTCCTGGGGCCCAGCCCCGCCCGCGGGCCGGCGTCCCCAGGGCCACTTGCACAGGTGCAATTGGGCCTCGGCCTCGCCGCCGCGCGCCCGCAGGGGGGATCGGGAGGGGGGGGAGAGAGGGGTCCTCCTCCTCCTCCTCCTTCTCCTCCTCCTCCTCCTCCTCCTCCTCTCTCGCCTCCTCCTCGTCCTCCTCTTCCTCCTCCTCTCCTCGCCTCTCCTCGTCCTCGTCCTCCTCCTCCTCCTCCTCCTCCTCCTCCTCCTCCTCCTCCCTCCTCCTCCCCCTCCTCCTCCTCCTCCTCCCCCTCCTCCTCCTCCTCCTCCTCCTCCTCATCCTCGCCTCCTCCTCGCCTCCTCCTCCTCCTCCTCCTCCTCCTCTTCCTCCTCTTCCTCCTCCTCCTCCCCCTCCTGGGGGCATGGGGGCGGGTGATGATGGGGAGGACGGGCGGGGGGCAGGATGGGGGGCAGGAGGAGGGGGGGGGAGAGTGGCGGGGGACAAGAGGGGGGGGGGGGGAAACGTGGGGGGTGATGAGGGGTTGGGCGCGGGGGCCGGGGCCGCCCGTGCGGGCGGGAACGCGCGAGGAAGTCGGTCTCGGGCGCCGGACCGCGGGATCGGGATGGGGAGTCGCCGCGCGGACCTCCGCTGGACCCCCGCCACGGCTTGACGGCCCTGGGCCGAGAAGGCAAGGGACGAGCTTACGGTCGGGAACTTTTTTGCTGAGCGTGCCACGGCGCGGGCCCCGGCGACGCGCTATACACTGGAGGCGGATATCGGATATCGTGCCGCTCCGCTTCGCGGGGTGGGAGGCTGGGGAAAGCTCGGCACGTGGAGGCCTGGAGACCGCGAGGTGGGTAAGGTGTCGCGCCGAGGCGTGGTGGGCCGGTGGAGCGAAACGTTGACCCGAAGCTCCCGACCGTACCCCCGTGCACTGGAGCATCTGTGCTGCGAGGCCAAAACGGTATACTGTGTACGGCTCCGTGCGCTGATGCCAGGGAGGAGCAGAGGCAAAGCCACACATTGGACGTGTCGCCCACATCAAACGCGATGCCAAACACCAGCGCTGCGATCGGTAGCGCAAAACCTCCGCATACTCAAACTCTTTTGCCCGACATCCATACAGACATATCTCTATTAAATTATATGTATACACGTAGTTGTATGAATGTTGATATATATATATATATATATATACACATTTCTCTCTCTCTCTCTCTCTCTCTCTCTATATATATATATATAAGCATGCGCGCGGGCATACATTCTCGATGTCGGCGCTGTTCGCAAGAGCGACGACGGGGAGCACGAGGGTCTGGGGCCCCTCTTGAGCCCCAGACCTGTCCGACACCGGGGCGTGCTTCCGCAACGCCGACCGCAACCCCCCTCCTCCTCCTCCTCCTCTTCCTCCTCCTCCTCCGTATCCATTGTGCCGAACCGCTACCGCTTGGCAACTGCCGAGTCACGTCTGACGCGTCCACTGCCTCCTCGTCCTCCCTCTTTTCAGTCACCGTCGTGTTGCTCCTGTTGCTGAGTGTCTCCTCCTCCGCCTCGTTCCCTCATCTTTCCATCCCCCTTCCCTCGTCTTCCTCCTCTTCCTCCTCCTCCTCCTTCTCCTCCTCCCCCTCCCTTCCTCCTCAGCAAAGCCTGCACATCGCTCGCGATCGATGTCGAACATCCCTGGCAGCTCTAAAACTGCAAGTTACGAGTCGCACTGCTAGATTTCAACTTGCACTCTGCGGCTCATCCTCCTCCTCCTTCCCTCCTCCTCCTCCTCCTCCTCCTCCTCCTCCTCCTCCTTCTCCTCCCCACCCTCCTCCGCAAAATATGCTCATCGCTCGCGGTCGATTCCGATCAATATCTGACCGTTCTTAGTTCGCAACTCGCACTTCTAGATCTCAGTCCGTCCTTAGCGTCTGCTGTCTCATCCTCACTACCCTCCTCCTTCCTCCCTGCTCATTCTTTCCTTCCTCTTCTCTTCCTTCTCCCCCTCCTCCTCCGCGCCACCTGCACCTCGCGAGTGATCGATTTCGAACATCTCTGGCCACTCTTAATGAGTAATTGCTTGTTCGTGTTGCTAGATGTCAATCCGCCCGCTGCGTCCTCAATCTCTGAATCCTCATCCTTCTGATCATCCTTGTCATCACCTCCCTCCTTCTCGCCTCATATATACTCCTCCTCTCCCCCCTCAGTCTTCCGTCCTCCGTCCTCCTCCTCCCCATTCCCCCTGCACTCTCTTCCCCTCTTCTTCCAACTCATACCGACCTTCCCTCCCCCCTCCTCTCCGACTTCTCCGGGTGCCGTGGGAAGATGCAGCGTGTCTGAGAAAGCAATTGGCAGAGCGAGGGGCAGGATGAGACTGTTCCAATCCAACGGGCGAGTTGGGGGAGTGGTGAGGGGGAGGTTTGAGGAGGGGGGTGGGAGGAGGAGGGCGGAGGGAGGTGGACAGACGAGGACAAACATCGGGAACGGGGATGAACATGTGTGGTTGGGAGAGAACTGGGAGGAGATGAAGGAGTGGTGGTGGGTGGAACAGCGAGACTAGGAGGAGGACTGACATGGGGGGCTGGAAAAGGGTGGGAGAAAGAGGAGACGGATGAGGAAGAGGGTTATTGAGGACGATCTGAGGAATGTGATGGTATCATCATGGAAGCCATGTGCAAATCAACTCGGATAATTATGCAACTGAGGCCAGTGTGGCATTGATGATAACCGTCGACCGTTGCGCAATGATACCAGGCCGTGCGAAACTGTCAGTGTCGACGGATGCATTCATAAGGCTCTGTCGGGGTTGTCTCGAAGGCCAACAAACAACATTAGTTCAGTGTTCTCTTGCTGCACCCTGTGGCATGTCACTAACTAACTGTTCAAATTCGTAAGCATGTTACTCAACCGTTTGAAGACCATGGTCTCGCATCTCAGCATCGGGCTCGAACTCGGACATTCGACGCTCATCTTTCTTGTGGCGTGGGCATTGGATCTGGATCAAATCTTGGCTACACCCGTGCATATTCAGAAGACAATCGTTTTGCACTCATCAAGTCCGCGCATGCTTCGGGCAGGCCAATCGATATATGCACTCAACAAAAACAAGGGCATGTTGGAAGAGCTTGATCCCTCGAACGGTGCGAAACTGAGAGCTTCGCGCACGCGTCCAGGGCTGTTGTTATGCCGTCAAATCCGGGAACTCTGAACACAAAAACATTGTCATCTCTTGCGGGGGGGGGGGAATTTTGACCTCCACCAGCGGGCCCGCCGCCGCCTTACTTCTGCCGGCTTCCGCTGACCTTCTGCCCCGCCTTCCGTCAAATAAGACAAGCCAGCCTTTCGATCCCTCGTAGGCGATGCCCTTCCAGAGCGCCCCATCATTCTCGGAGGGTCTGGGGGCTTTGTTGAAAGCGTTCGCTGCACTGCACGCGGCGCCGCGCTCGAAGACGAGAACATCAGAGCATCTCGAGTGCTGATTCATAGCCCTCATATTTTCCCAACCTCGCCTAATGTGAAGCTTCTATGATTTCCCTGGGAGGTCGCCACTTTGAGAGCGGTGTGCGTTGCTCAACCGGCTTGCAAGTAGAGGCGCATGCATTAAAACACCCTCGCGGTGCAATCTTGTCGTTGAATGCATGTGTTGATAGCCCACCGTCTTGGATTCCGAAATGTACGTTGGTGAACATCACTGGATCGCATGTTGCAACCTCGGAATGCGAATGATGATCGCCCAGCCAAGTTTCCACGACTCGAACATTTTGTTTGACAACATCATATCCGTGCTACTTGGTCATATCCCGGAAACTGTTGTATAAGCACGTCGGCGTTGACGTTTTGGGGAACAGCCAGTCGAATGCAGCGTGCCATCTTTTGAAACTTTGAAGCCCTTATGGTTCCTTGTGGAAGAGTGAGCTTTAAAATGCGCGGTGGCAAGTTGGCGCCCCCCCCGCATCGACGTGCTCTCCGATAATTCCTCGCTTCCCGATTCCATTTGGACAAACATGTCGGCCGAGACATTTAAACATTTGAGTGCTTGACGGGGCTTGTGAACTATAATGTTCGAGCGCGTCGCGAGTAACGTGGTACAGGCGTCGCTGATTGCCCATCAGTCGGGCGCATATTGCAGCGGTAGAAGCCGATTGCAGCTTGAGGGCATGTGAAATTCGAGCGGGCCACCGAACTCAGCTTCGCTAGGACCGAGCGTTCATGGCATCCCGCATGTGTAACCCATCTTTGACGATTTGCAAACTTCGACGCCAAGCCAAAATTACTTTGCCAACTTATCAATTGCGACAAGGAAAACGATTTGTTCGATCAAGTCGTGGATGGCTCGCGACATGGAGACCAAACATGATGCATTCTTGTCGCCGTTGATCTTGCCATGGTCCCACTCGACACAGAACGGATGCTAGCCGTCGGCCGTTGTCGAAATTGTACTGGCCCGTGCAAAACTGTCAGTGTCGACGGGTGCATCCATAAGGCTCTATCGGGGTTCTCTCGAAGGCGAAAAATATTTGTTCTATGGTAATGTGCTGCCCCCTCTGGCCTGCCACTAGCTCTTCAAACTCGTGCGCCCGTTGCCCGACCCTTTAAATAGCATGATTTCACATCTCAGCTTCGGGCTCGAATTCGGGCACTCGACGCTAATGTTTCTTGTGGCATGCATTGGATCTGGATCGAATCTTGGCTACGCCCGTGCATATTCAGAAGACAAGCACTTTGCACTCATCAACTCTGCGCGTACTTCGGGCGTGCCAGTCGGTATATAGGTTGGACGAACTTGACCCCTTCGAACGGTGCGAAGCTTAGACCTTGCCCGGGGCAGTTGTCATGCCGCCACGGCATATGGCTGACCCCAGAAACTCTGTATCACAAAACATCGTCATCTCTTGGGGGGGGCGAACTCTTACCTCCGCCAGCGGACCCACCGCTGCTTTACTACTGCCGACTTCCTTTGACCTTCCGCCCCGCCTTCCGTCGAATAAGAGAAGGCGACCTCTCGATCCCTCGAAGGCGATGTCCTACTTGAGCGCCCCAGGATTCCTTGAGTCTTGGGGCTTTGCTCAGAACGTTCGCTGCATTGCACGCGGCGCCGGGCTTGAAGGCGAGAAGATCAGAACACCTCGAGTGATGATTCATAGTCCTAATATTTTCTGAACCTCGCCCAAATCGAAGTTTCAACGAATGCCCTGGGAGGTCGCTACTTTGAGAGTGGTGTGAACTGCTAAACCTCGCGGATTGCAAATAGAGTCTCGTGCATCAAACATCCCGGCGCTGCAAATTTGTTGCTGGGCGCATGTGTTGATATCCTACCGTTTTGAACTCCGAAGTGTACATGGGCGAACATCACTGGATCGCATGTTGTAGCCTCGGGATGTGACTGGGGCATGGCCGATCGAAATTCCACGACTCGAGCATTTGGTTTCGCAGCTTCATAACCGTGCTATTTGTCATACCGCGGAGAACATTGTATGTGCCCATTGGCGTTGACCTGTTGGGACACAGCCGATCGAATGTCGCATGGCATCTTCTGGAACTTCCAAGCCCTTGTTTTGCCTCGTAGAAAAAAAGTAGTTTTAAAATGCGCGGTGGCAGTTCGGCCGCCGCCTACATCGCTGTGTTCCGGTACCGCATGTCGGCCCATACCATTTAACATTCGAGTGCTTGACGTGGCTTGTGAACTATGGCGCTCGAGCGCGTCGCGAGCAACGCGGCACTGGCTTCGCTGAGCTTGCCGCCCCTCAGTCGGGTGCATCTGATCGCAGCTTGAGAGCATGGGCAATTCGAGCGGGCCAGCGAACTCAGCTTCGCTAGGTCCGAGCGTTCATGGTACCTCGGTAACTCATCTTTGTCGATTTTCAAACTTTGATGCCGAACCGCAGTAACCAAACCAACATTCTCAATTTCTATAAGAAGAACGATGTCTTCGATAAGGTCGTGGATGGTTCTCGCAATCAAAACTAGACTTGATGGGGTTATCGTCGCCGTCGTTCTTGCCACGGGGTGCTTGATTAACAAAGAACGGGCCGTACCCACGGTGCTTCGAGACATCATGCGCTACGCGTCCAGAGACAACGCGGTGTTCGAACTGGTTCTTGCATTCCGCTGAACAAGCGCACTGCCATGCATTAAGGATAGCCAAGTTTCTATATTAAGATGTTGTTTCAAGGTCATATGCCCCTAGTGGAATGCCATTAAGCCTCTTCGAATTCTCGATGTTCAATATGGTACATCGTCATTGCCCCTCCACAACAACTCTGAGTTCTGGAAGTGTTGGGCGCCTGTCGGCCTCCCCAGGTGTCGCTCGCCGTCAGGCCGCGCTCCGCGCGCCACTTGCATCGCCTGGCGCGGGGATGTGCGTCCTGCTCCGCGAGGAAGCGAACGCGCCACAGCGCGGTCCGCCGCTCCTTCACGGGCCAACAGGGCCATGCCGTCTCGGACATGCCTCGCACAGCGTCCTTGAAGATGCGCCGCCTCTCGCCGTCGAAAGCGTGCAGGATGGGCAGCTTACGTGCGTCCAACGAGTTCTCGGCCTGCTTCTCCGTCACAAACTTCACCAGGTAGCAGTTCCCCCCGGCTTTCGCGACCCCGAGCGTGTCATAGACCATGGGCCACTCGCAGCTGTGAAGTCTGCCAGCACGTTCACCTCACCCTCGTGTTCGCAACCCACGATGAGCCACCGCCGCCCGGGGCCAGCCCCCATCCTTCCCGAACCTCGCGTCGCACCAGCCCTTCAGAAGGAGTCGCTGTCCCATCCAGCGGGCCCGGCGCAACCGCCAGCGCCGGCCGGTCCGCATTCACCATCTCCCCCGCTGGCGGGCTCTCGCCGCAGGCAGCGCGGAGTTCCAGGAACTCGTGGGGGGTCGGAGAGCGGGCCCGGCGTGGTCCGTCCCCGCCCACTCGATCGCGCCACAGCGGCCGGCCCGTCGGACCGCAGGGGGCCAACGCGTGCAGAGGCGGAACCTCCAGCTCGTGAGGGTAAACGTCGAAATCGGGTGTGGCGGCCATCCACACCGGACTCGTAGGACTCGTCGCTGGTGCCCCGAGCTCGCTCTCGAGCTCGACGCCGTCTGACTCGCGAAGGAAAAGCCTCACCTGGAAGTCCTCGTTCGCGCACCACTGCACTAGTACTCGCATCCCAGCCCGCCAAGCGAACGCTATGGTGGGCAGCGCCTGCGGCCAGAACACACGCCGAGCAGCAGCAGCAGCCCACGATCGTGCCGATGGTGAACACGAGCAGGAGGACGGCTCTGATCCCGCCCAGCTGCTCCGCTGCGGCCGCCGGCTGCCCGCCCTCGACGAGGAGACTGCCGAGCCGTCGCACCGAGCCCAGCGCTATCTCGCTTGCAACGGAGAGACTGGACTGGGCCAAAAATGGATGAAGCATGGGGCCCGCCGCTCTCGAAATGGCTTGAGCAGGGCACGGCGGCGGAGGCACACTGCATCCCTTGCCGTGCAGCGGCCAAGACGATTGGGCAGGCAATGACGTTCACAAAGTACAAGGCTACACAGAGGGAAACGATGAAGGAGGGTATGGATGTAGGCGCAGGAGCAGGTGCGAGAGTGGCCCGCGCGACCAGCACATGACAATCGGGAGGTTGACCGCGCCGCCCTGAACCGGGCAGGCGCGCACTCCGCCGGCGGGAGCTGCGCGGGAGGCGAGGCGACCTGAAGCCCAGCACACGGATAGGAGAACGCTGGATAAGAGAGCTCTCGCCCGGAGAAACTGGCGAACTCTCGCGGGGATGGTTGGCAAGCCCGCCCGCTTGCCCCGAGTATCGGCCTTGTGAAATGTGGCGCAAAAACTGGGCCTTCTGAAATGTGGCGCAAAGAGTACCTCGCTTTGCGGTCCAGCCCTTGGATGCAACCCCTCGTGCGCCTGAATTGACACCCCGTGAGGGGGGAATTTTTACTCCCGCCGGCTTCCGCCTGCGGAGCCGCCCTGGTCTTACTCCCGCCGGCTTCCTTGGCATAAGGGAAAAAAACTCTGACGGAAACGGGTCCTTCCGGGTCTTTCCCCACGATTTTTGTCATCCTGATGGTGCTGGGCCCAGGAAGGGCCCCGGGAGGTCGAACACGGCGAAACACCTCAGGACCCCTTCTTTCCCTCAATACCCCCTTTCTTCATGATCAGCTTTACTCCCGTCGGCTTCTGCGGGATTTCCGCTGAGGGCGACAAGCTCAAATCAACAATCTCTCTCTCTCTCTCTCTCTCTATCTCGAGGAGGAGGAGGGAGAGAAGGCGGAGGGCCCTGCTTGGAGCACCTTATTTGGATTGAAGAGCCCCGACTCTCGCCAGGGACCGTCTTGCCCGACGGCCTTCCGAAACCTTGGAACTCCAATCAGGGCCTTCGGCCTGGCACCCCGACGCAACAATTGCCAGCTAGGATCCCCAAAGTCAACCCTTTGCAGCAGGGCCGGGATCCTCTGCTCTGGCCGGCGACCAATCAATCGCAATCAAGGCCTGCGGGACCCACGACACTCCGGGCGGCGACAAGGAAACCGTTGCAACCAGGTTCAGCGGGGACCTAGGACCCCAGGGGCGGCGATCAGGACATCGCAATAATTAGGGCTGGTGGGAGTCTGGAGCCATGCGGGTGGCGACCAAGAAATCGCAACAACCAGGGCCAGCAAAATCCGCAACCCTATGGCTAGCGACCAAAAAATCGCAACACTCACGGCTGGGGGGATCCGTGACCGTATGGGCGACGACCAGGACATCGTAACAAAAGGGGCCAGCGGGAACCATGACTCCACGGCGACAGGGACATCGCAACAGCCAGGGCCAGCGGGACCTGGGACATCATAGGTGGCGACTAAGAAATTGCAGCAACACAAGATCGCGGGAGACGGGAAGCATTCGGGCGGCAACCAGGAGCTTGCAAAAACCAGGGTCAGCGGGACCCAGGACCCAAGGGGCGATGAGAAGGGCATCGGCATAATCAGGGCCAGCGGGAGTCGGGAACCATTTGGGCGGCGACCGAGAAACTGTAACAGTCAGGGCCAGCAAGGTCGAGGATCCGTTGGAGGAGACAGGGAACTGGCAAAAACCAGGGCCAGCCGGACGCGACCAGGAAATCGCAACAACCAGCGCCAGCGGCACCTGGGACTCTAGGGGCGGCGACCAGGACCGCAACCACCAGGACTAATTCCTTCCCAGACAACGAAGAAATCCTTTGTGCAAACGCTGTTTGTGACGCCCAAACTGGCGTCCGAGGGTCTGGCTCTCCGTGCCGTAACTTCTTATCCAATTCGCTCCCCCGCCGTGGCTGAGCTGAGCTGGACACAGGAAGTAGGAACCACGCGCACACACGCACCACGCACACACACCCATCCACCCACGCACGCACGCACGCAACACACAAACACACAAACACACAAACACACAAACACACGCACACACACCCACACCCACACCCACACCCACACACACACACACCCCCACACACCCCCACACACACACACACCCACACACCCACACACCCACACGCCCACACATCAACCCACCCGCCTACACACCCACACACCCACACACCCACACACCCACGCGCACTCACACACACACGCCCGCATACCCACACACCCACATACCCACACACCCACGCGAACACACACACACACACCCACACACACACACCCGCACCCACACCCGCACTCACACGCACACGCACGCGCACGCGCACACGCACACGCACACACGGCGCACGCGCACGCGCACACGAACACGCACACACACACACACACCCACACGCGCACTCGCACACGCACACGCACGCGCACACGCACACGCACACCACACGCACACGCACACACACACACGCACACGCACACGCACACACAACACGCACACCAGCACACGCAACACACGCACACGCACACCGCAAACGCACAACGCACACGGACACCACGCGCACACGCACACGCATGCGCACGCGCACGCGCACACGCACCACGGCACACGCGCACGCACGCGCACGAGCGCGCGCACGCGCCACGCGCACACGCACGCGCACACGCACACCACGCAACGCGCACGCGGCACACGCACACAGCGCCGCGCGCACGCAACACCACTAACGCGCACAACGCACATACGCAACGCACACGCACACACAGACGCAACACGCACACCAACACACTCGCACACACGCACGCACGCACACACCGCACACACGCACACACCCACAACCCACACACGCCACACACACGCACACACGCACACACGCACACACGCACGCACACCGCACAACACGCACACGCGCACACACGCACGCACAACACGCACAACACCACGCACGCACGCCACACCACAAGCACACACACGACACGCACAGCACACGCACACACGCGCACACACGCACACGCGCACACAGCACACACGCACACGCACACACGCACAGACACGCACAGACACGCACACACGCACACACGCACGCACGTACACACACCCACGCACACACGCACGCGCGCACACGCGCACACATGTGCGCACGCACACACGCACATACGCACACACGCGCACGCACACGCGCACGCACGCACGCGCGCACACACACACGCACACGCACACGCACACGCACACACACACACGCACGCACGCACACACACACGCACACAAACGCACACACACGCACACGCGCCGGCGCGCTCACGCACACACCACACGCCGCACACACGCACACGCGCACGCGCACACGCGCGCACACACGCACGGCACACGCGCCGCACACGCACACGACACGCGCACACGCACACGCTCACCACACGCGTCACGCACACGCAACACACGCACACACACGCACGCGCACAAACGCACCACACGCACACAGCCCACACACGCACACACGCACACTCGCACACACGCACACGCGCACACACGCACACTCGCACACACACGCACACACGCACACACGCACACACGCACGCGCACGCACACACGCACACAGGCACACATGCTCGCAAGCACACGCGCACAAACGCGCACACGCGCACGCGCGCGCGCACGCTCACGCACGCGCACGCGCCTACGCGCCCACGCATGCACGAACATGCACGCGCACACGCACGCGCACGCGCGCACGCACACGAACACGCACATGCACGCGCCCACGCGCACACGCACACACGCACACGCACACGCACACACACAGAAACACACGCGCGCACGCATGCGCGCACGCACGCGCGCGCGCGCACCCACGCGCGCGCACTTTCGCGCGCGCGCGCACGCACACACACGCGCACACACAGACACACGCACAGACACACAGACACACGCACGCACGCACGCGCGCACACACAACACAAACGCAACACACACAACACACGCACACACGCAACGCGCATGTACGCGCGCACGCGCACGCCGCGCGCATTGACAGCGCATCGCAGCATGGCGCGACACGACGAGCTACAACACAACACAACCACAATGCAATCTGACACTCCGTGGTGCGTGGGCCACTGCGTGTCCGTGCAGGCGAGCGCTTCAACGGCGTCCTCGTTTGAGGTATCCGGCAGAGGGGGAAGGACAAGGGGAGGGCGGCGAGGAAGGGAGAGGAGGGGGAGAGAGGCATTCTAAAGCACAACGCATACAGACACACATGCATAGACGCACACACAGACACACAGAGACACACTGGCGCACGCAAACACACACAGGCACACACATACGCGTGCACAGACAGGCGCACAGGCAGACGCGCACAAACACATAGGCACACATGCACATATACACACTCACACACGCGCGCGCGAACACCCGCGCGCACAGCGCAACCAACGCACATTTACAACGCACAACACAGACAACATCGCATAACGCGCGCACGCACCACGAGACAACGCAACGCACCCGACACATTACACACCATATGGTAGCGCGCATACGCACAAGCGGTTGTACACAACGCACAACGCAACAAAACACGCGCGGTTTTTTTTTTTTTTTTTAAAGTCGGCGGCGCAGAGGAGCCTCGGGTGCGTTTGGCAGGTGGAGGTGCCAACTGCGGACGGACTTAGTCGAGCGCGCCATGCTGCAATAATCCAGCCGCGGCCATGCATATTTGTTGCGGAAAAAGGGAGGCGCTGTAAAGGCAAAGTGCAGCGGCCAAAGAACCCGCGGAGCGAAAGCCCGACGCGGGAAGTTTGTACGAATTCGAGCCTGAAGGAGGCAACGACATAGAACTGTAAGGCTGCCAGACCAGCCAACTTGGTTGCGGTGCATGCGCGCAGGGCAACTGCGCGACGATGCAACGCCGCCGACCTTGCAACGGGTGAGAACCACATGAGGCGACCGTGCAACGTAATGCAAGAAGTAGGCGTGGCAAAGATGATCACGCGGCCGAGGCTGGCTTGACCATGGGCAACAAAAACAAAGCTGAGCGCGGGCCACCGCGAGCAGCAACCGCGACGAGCGGCGGCGCACATGGGTAGTGGACAGGCGCGAGACTGGCCGACGCGCAATGCAGACGCCAGCGTTAAAACAGCAACCCCAAACGCGACCAAAGCCGCGGAAAGCTACCATGAAGGCATTGGGGGCAAAACCAGCAGATGGGGCAACCACCTGGGCGCAAGAGACTGTGCGCGTCGTCGCGCAGGTCGCGCCGCTCCGACCACAAGGCGGCAAAGTGACGAGGGGGGCCAGCCATGCGAACCCGCCAACAGGATGCGCCAACACGCAGGCAGAGACAGACCC